TCATACCAGCTAATAATTAAAACGGTTAGTTAGATTGTGTACCTTAATAGCTTATTATCCTTTATTTTATTTTTTATGAACTCACTCATGAATCTTTATATTATTATGATCTTATCTTATTGAATTTTAATAAATCTTGATGTACCTTAATAGCTTATACTAATTAATTTAACTCTTGTTTTATCTGAACTTGTTAATGTTTATTAAATCTAATTCTTCATATGAATTTAACATTTATCTTACAAAGTATTTAGTATGGAGCATAATACTTGGTATACATTTATCAAACTTAAAGTACTTCATAATTTACTCTCTCCAATTTTTTTTAAGTGTTACAATTTGATCGACAAAATGTAATACTTCAATATGGGATTAAGGCTGCATGCATAAGTTGATGCCGAATAAGCAGTCCAACAAATGGCACGACCCTGGTTGGTGGCAGATTGAAGATGAGAGGGGGTTCCTTTCTACTTATCCGAATGATACTTCGGATAAAGACTGGAGAGGCCAATGGATTTGGGTTCGGGCGCCTTCAGACGAGGATCATCCAAATTTCTTCGGCGACCCCCGATACTTGAGGAAGCCCGATCCTAAGATGTTCAGCATCAGGCCTGATGAGTTCTCCGACGCCGATTTGAAATAGATGGAGCTCTTCGGCAGGAGCCACATGTCTGGAGCCACAGGCCGAATGGCGAATGTGCCTACCATCTGGCTACCCTACTGCCACTATATCTTCCAGAAGAAGATACTTGTTGTTGTTGGCCTCAGCCTAAAAGTACCAAGGCGGTGAGGGACTCAGATAGGGCCGAAAACTTCATTATATTTTGTTATTTTCTGCTTTCTGATGTTTATTTCTCTTGGCCAAGCTAACTGTTGTTATTTTTTTTTTCTTTAGAGTTGTTCGAAGAGAACTCGGGCGTTGATTATGAAGTGCTCGGGATCAGTCAGGAGAGGAACCCGATCACCAACACCCCCAAAATCACTGATTCCAAGGATTGGGCCCTTTCCCTGCACCGGAAGAGGCTTCAGGTGGTCAGCGCTGTTGGGTATCAGGCGCAGAAACCTTGATTTGAAAAGGTTGACCCTTACTTTCCCCATTCATCCGAAGAGCAAGCAGCTGCAACTATCGCTGATGAGGCCTTCTGAAGCGGAGCTGGGCCTTCTACTTCTGCTGCTGAGCCGAGAGCAGAAGAAGCTGAAGAAGAAGATTCAGAAGATGCTCGTCTTTTGAAGACTTCAGTGAGCCTTCGGACTTGTCTGAATTTGCTTCTTCCTTCTTTCTTTCTTTGCTTTTGTTTTTTTTTTTATTTTTTTTTTTATTTACTTTTTTTTGAACTTATGTGACTTTTTTCCCCCTTGTTCTTTCTTCTGCAGTCCGACGAAGAAGAAGAGAACAAAGGAGAGCCAGCCAAGGCTTCTCAAGTAGAGAGTCAACTTCGGACGAATCATCTTCAGACGAAGAAATGTTGGGTCCGAGGAAGAGAAGGGTTGTTGTTCTGCCCGGGCAATTTCAAGCTGCCCCAATTCCTGCAAAGAAGCCTTGGACCGAGGAGCCGAGCAAAGAGAAGACTCCTCCTCCTGAATCATCCCGAGATTCGGGACGAGGAAGTGCAGCAAAAGACTCCCCCTCCTGGGCAACTGGCTGAAGCCCGTGACGTTCAGCCCACAAACTTAACTCCTCCACCATCTCCTCGGCACGTGGCCGAATCTTTTGCTGATGAGATTCGGAAGGAAGCTGACGCGCTAATTATCCAGCCCGAGGATGATGATGTGCAGACTTTGGGTGAGGAGCCCCAGGGTTTTAATGCTGAGGGTCTGAAGGAGACTGAGGAGAAAGTTGAGGATGCGAAGAACTTCGACATGCCCTTTGACTTCGGCAGGCAACTCCTTCAAGACTTTCTAATCTGCTGAGATGGGGTTTGAGTCTGCCCCCTTACTGGTCATTCCTAATGCTGCTAGGAACGCTCTTCTTTCTCACCGAGCCTCAGCAATTGAGTTCTTCGGTGACCTGATTTGGAGAAGGCGAAGATTTGGTCCCTTCGGACCGTAGCTGGGGTCTCTGAGCCCTTCGTGTGAGGGTTCTAGATCCATTTGTTGAGAATCAAAGGCTGCTGATGTAGGTAAACTTGTTTATACTTAAGCTTTTATACTTAAGTTTTTCCCTTTGGTGCAGCTTGTTTACATTACTAACACCAAAAGCATAGGAAAAACCAAATCTATTTTTATTATTTTCAGCAATATTTTTATTAATTTTTGTTTATGACAAAAACAAGATTTCAGGGGCTAAGGAAGTGCACCACTTCTAAAGAATTCGAACCGAGGCTAAGGAAGTGCACCACTTCTAAAGAATTCGAATTGCACGAGGGCTAGCCAACCCCCGGCAGTTGCAGCATAAAGTACTCATTGGTGAGGGCGGGGTTGACTCATGCCAAACTCCGCCAGACTAGTAGAGAAGGAAGTCACCTCAGGGTTTGATTTCATCCGCTTCCCAATTGATGTCTCGCTCACTTCCATTTCTTCAGAAATACCAGTCTGTTTTCTTTTGCTTAAAAGAGTGTTTTGCTATTTTGTTTAATGCAATATCAATAAAAAATTATCTCCATGTTTATTATGTAATCTATCTATCTGAGACTACATATTTAGCCTATGGTCTATTAAACAAGCATTTTGAGATATTGATTCAATGTGATGTGTGTCTTAATCATGGAACTAGATAAGATACTAAGGAAGGAGAAAGAAGGATGTGAGGTTGTCAACACTTTCTTTTTCTTTTTCTGTTTTTAAAATTATGTTTTTTCACTTGATTTTCATCAGTAGTAGTTCCGCAAAAGTTAATTAGAAAGTATCTAATAGGTAATAGAGCAATAAGAAGCCAAAAAACATGATTAATTTATAATTTGAATGTCGTATAGTTATGCTTAGGGTGTGTCAATGATGTGGTAATAGTCAACTGTAGAAAACACCTGCTTTTGTTTCACTATATGTTTTTGATTTTTAATCTGCATCAGATTATCTGACCTTGTTTGTGGAAATGCCTATTGCGTAAAGGGAAGTCATTCAGTCATTAATTACCAATTTGGAATTTTCACAGGAGTTCCTGCAAAAGGGGCATTGCAATCGGAAAGACATGATAAATCAGTATGAATCTGATAGTCCTTTGCTGAAATCCATGGAAGAACTGCAATTATGTTAAAATGGCTAATACAAATGCCGGTGGTGACATAGCTAAAGAAGTGGGTAATTGTGGTTCTGTGATTTCAGATGGAAAAATTGGAGCAGATCTTAGCCAAGGTGCTCACATCAAAGATCTTAATAAAATGATTTAAAATAGACCATCTCTCAGTCAGATCAGTTGCACCTAGTCCAAGTTCAGAGAAACACAAATCTGCACAATGATGCCCGAGATGAGGCCAAGATTCATCCCCTAGCATTGCTTTGCCACCCAAGAATACTGATTTTTTGTGAAAATCTATCAATATACTGCAAGGAATGTTCAAAAGGCTGATGAATTAGGGGATTACAATCCAGTTTTTGTTTCCTCATTTCGTGCCTAGGTGGTGCCAGACTGCTGCTTCCTGTGGGTGTTGATCATACTGCTATACCTGTTTATGATGATGAACCAATTAGTATCATAGCATATGCACTTGTATCACCAGATTATAAAACTCAGATATCTGATGATCCTGAGATGAAAAGTTCCCTTTCAGATCACTCCATCCATTTGAAGCGGTTTCTGGGTCAATGAAAAGTTTTGGGTCTTCTGATCAAGAAATTCCCTCATCTTGGACCCATTATTCTATAACAAGGCTTTGCATGCTAGAGTGTTTTTTTTATTAAATACATATAATAGTCCTCTTGAAAGTGAAATACAGCATTGTCACTTGCTATTATGCAAAACGATTTGAGGTGTTGAGAAAGATTTGTTGCCCTTCTTAGATGTATTTCATCAATTCTCTTAGCCGTTGTAAGAAATGGGGAGCTCAAGGTCGAAAGAGCAATGTCTTTTTTTTTTAAGAGTTTAGATGATATTTGTCTTAGGTGTAATTTATTATAACAGTTTGGTGTTGGTCGAATCTTGAATTTGGGTGTTTGGAAGAGATAACAGCACTAAAGAGATTAAATGTGAGTATATCTTTGATTCTCATCACTCCTTTTTATATATAGTTAAACTATATCGTGTTTCAATTAACCTCAAAATTGTTTTGTCCTAACACTTAGCACATTCTCTAATTAAATCACATAATACAAAGCAAACATTGAAAAGACGGATTAGTGTTAAAAAGTTTCGATACATTATAATAAAAACAAATGTACCTAAATGTGGTTTCCCAACCTTTGAACACAAAAATGACGTGTGCCAACTCTTGTTTTTCCAATCACACCCAATTCTAACTAGTATCTTTCATACAAGTATAATTTAGCAACATGCAGTAATCTTCTAGTACTTGATCTTAAAAATGGCTCTGGGCGTGCCTCGTGCCAGGCCCACGTGCTTTAGGGTTAGTTAGGCCCGACTCATGGCTCGGCCCACGAATTTCATGACATGCCGTATTGGGCCGAAGTTTTCAAAAGGTTGGCCTGTGCACGGCCCATGCCCACGTGTCATCGTGTCGGGCTTGCGTGCCTAAGCAAAATTGCATAGATTTTAACATGCTTTATCGTGTCGTGCCTTATCGTGCTTCTCCCAAATAAAGGCGGCCCAAACCCGACCCACAACCCACATGCTCAGTACCGTGTCGTGCCATGCTTTTTTCATGCCCGTGATGTGCCATGCTTTTTTTCGTGCTGGGCCATGCCGGGCTTCGGGCCAGCCAGTGCCATCTTTACTTGATTTACTCTCAAACTGTAATATGCAGGCACACAGCAGTGCTGCACTTCTTTTAAAAGTCATTGTGAAAATTGAATAAAATGATAGTGCATAGAATCACATTTCTTTCCATGATAAACCCAACAAGGAGTGTAGTCGTAAGTTCAGCGGAATCTTAATCATATGCTGGTCAAGTTCAAAACACAATGCACTTCATTGAAAGAAAATTATAACCTAATCAAACAAAGGGATTGATTAGATCATCTGGTAGAAAACAAAGCTTCAAATCTCAGTTACAGTTTAGATCTTGAAATAAAATTTACACTGATCCAAGAACTAAACCACCAACAGATTTACTCATCCTCCTGGCTTCTCAACCTCGCAAATTTGTTACTAACTACAATGTCCAGTTCAGCAGCACGCTCCACAATAATTTTTCGCTTCTTGGTTGAAATGTTGTGGGCAACCTCAGCACAGTATGTCCTGAACAAGCAATGAAAACAATGATCAGTCAGCAAACACAAAAGAACAAGTTAAAAAACAGTGAAAGGGAGCAAAGAATATAAAGGGCATCAATTACCTGTTGTGCATCATAAGAAGCTCCAAGTCACTGACGTTGTGGACAACAAACTTCTTGAAGCCATTGGGAAGAAAGTGACAAGTCTTCTTGTCTGAACCGTAACCTATGTTTGGCATAAGAATGACTCCCTTAAACTTTCTTCTCACTCGTGAATCAATACCCTTTGGCCTACGCCAGTTAGTCTGCAAGTTACAACAATTTAGATTAATACAAATGTGAAGAAAGCACTTCAGTGTATAATGGTAAAAGTTTTTTTTTTTTTTTTACTTTTTTATAAATTTGCAAAATAACAGTCATGGAAGCACAGTCCTACGAGGAATTACCCATACATGTAACTGGTAGATGGCCATACAACACAGAAAAGAATATAACCTACTACCTTGGCAATATGCATATCAAAATAAACACATGTACTCAAATCTAGGCATAAACATTTAGACGTGCTTAAACTAGGCACAAATATTTAGACAATTTGGTTATTGGACCCAATATATATAGATTAAATCTCGCAACTCAGCAAGTGAATTGATGTGAACTGCTGCTTAATGCTTTCAATTAGATTGAACTACAGAGGCATACCACTTGGGTGGATAAATCAAACTACTGTACACTAAATCCTGCCTTGTGCACGTTAAGGGCTAAAAGTAAAAAACAATATTTGATTTACACTTCCATGTTGCTATAATTACATATAATACATATTAGATCACAAACTATAAAACAAATCGACCAAACAGGGCTCAATCAAATCCACACTAAAGTTTGTTACAAGCTTTAATACAATGAGCTAAAATTTGCATTCTACGCCTACATCTTCTTATAAGAACATAACAAAGTCAGGTAGACATAAGAATATTCCAAAATGAGCCCACTTACGGGAAAAGTAATCAAATTTAGACACCAACTAAGGATAAATCACATAAAAAAAAATACTGAGGTGAAAACTTCAGATATGAAATTCCAGAACAAAGATAACATATGCCTTGAGTTTAGATTATAACCTTATCAACATGTCTCTAATTCAATCTTGACACCGAACCACTCATCCAATCAAAATAATTTATCATAAACGTAGGCCGAATCACACTTGAACAAAAAATATGAATGCCAGAACAAATATACCACACCTTTGGCATACGCCAGTTAGTCAGAAAAAGTTACAACCATTTAGATTAATGAGACAAATTTAAAGAAACCGCTTCAGAGTAAAATGGCAAAGGTTTTTTTTTTTTTTTTTTTTTTTTATTGTATATTTGCAAAATTAATAGTCTAGGAAGCACAGCCCTATGAGGAATTACCCATACATGAATACACGTAGATGGGCATAAGCATAAGGAATTAAACCTACTTCAACAAGCACAAGGCCAGCATTTGCACAAAAAAATAAAAATTAATCCTGGTATTATGCATATCAATGCACATGTACTCAAAATTAGGCATAAACATTTAGACGTGATTGAGCTAGGCTTGAATATCTAGAAAGTTTGGTTATTGCACCCAATATTTAGAGATTAAATCTTGCAACTCAGCAAATGCTATGATGTGAATCGCTGCTTACTGCTTACAAATAGACTGAACTGTAGAGTACTTTCATAACACTTGGATGGGAAAAATCAAACTACTATACACTAAAACCTGTCTTGCAAAGGGCTAAAACTAAAATAATAGTTCAATTACACCTCAAAGTGGCTATAATTAAAGATAATACAATTAGATCACAAACTGCAAAACAACTAAACCAAACAAGGCTCTATCAAATCCACAACAACAATTGGTTACAAGTTCTAATACCATGAACTAAAAATGCAATCTACGCCCAAAGTTTATGTATAAGAACATAATGATATGTATGCCAAAACAAAGATACCGTATGCCTTGTGTTTATATAATCTACTTATCAACATGTCTCTTATTCAATCCCGACACCGCACCACTCATCAAATCAAAAACCTAATTATCATAAACATAAGGCCGAATTACACTTGAATAAATGCAGAGGTTCAAACTTCAGATACCAATTTACCATACTCTTTGCATTAAAGATTATCTAATTGTCAAGAACATGCCTCTAATCAATCCCGACAACGCGCCACTCATCGTATCAAAACGTTCCTAACTCATAAGCTAATCAATTAATTAAACAACCAGCTATTTCCAAATTCCAAATTAAACAACCAGCTCATTTGTCGAATACTCAAACATCTATTTTCAAATTCCAACTAATAAGACTTCATCGAAACAATTACATTGCATGAAAATTTCACTATTCATATAAAAATTGACGACAAACAACATCAAATTCCAGCAAATTCTTCGTTTACTTCCACGTTTTGTACATAATCAAACATCGAGCAAAAAAAATGGAGAAATCTGAGAAATAAATTCGCATAATATTTTACAAATTCATACAAAAATAATACCTTAACGAAAATCTTACGATCACTTTGCGGCCTCTTAAATTGCTTCACCCGCTTCTTCACTATCTTCTTGTCGAGTTTAGGAACCGCCATTGATGATTTCTACAAAAATATACGAAACAAATTCGAATAAATTTCAAAATTAAGAAAAAAATTTACAAAATTAACTGCAAATTTCTTAGAAATTGAAGTGAATTGATGAAAATGATGGAGGGGAAGAGACTTCCAATGAAGAAAAAAATGAAGAAATTGAGTCGGTGGACTCAAAGAATTAGATAGGGTTTATATACATTTCGTAGTTATAAGGTTTTTTTTTTTTTTTTTTTTTTTTTTTTAAATTAGGGCTTTTCGGGTGTGGTGTGTGAAGAGGACTAACTTAGGCCCAAATATAGGATTGAAACTTCGAAAGCTTATAGTACAGGCCCAAATATAGAAACCAAAGTTTATGCCACGTTTAACAAAAGTTATTAGTAGGCACGTGGCATGCCAATATGGTAGTTCGTAACCAAGCTAAACTCATTCTATTGGAAAATATGATAACGGTTTAATTCTTAATAAAGACATTATTTGAAGGTAGAGATCTCCTACCCTTCTCCCTTACTTTCAAATATCGGACTAAAAAAACCGTGAGGGTAGAAACTGGTCAAGGTAGTTCTAATTTGGAGTATTAAGAGATTCTAATTTGATGATTTATTGTACTTCAAAGTTAATACATACTCATGCGGGGTGTTTTTGGAGTAGTTCCGGTATGTACTCCTTCCGTCTCTTATTGTTTGCATCATTTGACCCAAAAAACTTTCACAAAAAGTGGGTCCATGGTGCTAAAAAAAAGGGAATGGGACAGTATGTTTATATATATATATATATATATATATATATATATATATATTAGTTAGGATATTTTAATTGCAATATTGCAATATTGCAGTGAAAGTCAGAACAAAAAACAAATAGGACAAATGTTTAGAAACAAAGAGAGTACATCGCTTACAATAACTAAATTATGGATGAGGCTAGGATTTTATTTTTTAAAATAAAAATTAACGAATAATATGATATTTGATGTTAGTGATTTGAGTATCTAAATAAAACCGCCCTAACAACTCATAATAATTCACACAATTTTAGTTGGGTGAATAAGGGCAAGTCGGGTTTTCCATGTCTACCTGTATACACACAATGATCCCCTTTAATAAATTTGTAACTCAATATAGAACACTATATTAATCAAGCTCAAGCTCTAGCTCTAGCTATGTGGACATTTACCTTCATGTAGTGTGTACTTCACTTCATAGTTCATGAATTTATTTTTCCTCTCTTTTTGTAACTAACTATTCCACCTGAAATACATGAGATACTTGTTTAGAATTGCTTGGCAGAGTATAATCTTTAAATAGAAAGGACTACCCAGATATTTTATGTGTTTGCTTTTCAGCCTTTACAACTAGATCGAAATAGAAGGTGTCACAAGAATAAAAGTTCTATGTCTGCCAAGTGCAAATTAAATTAAAGTACTATACATAGTGAAGTGGAGTTTCTAAAAGTTCAGATAGACTTTGCATGGTTTTTACATTATTACTTCAATTCAATGCTTGGAGATTAATTAAGTCCTCTATATATTATATGGAGTAGTAATTAATTTATAATTATTGAATAAAACTTTACATTAATATATGAAAGAATATTTCACTTGTTAAAATAGTAATCTAACAAGTCTAAATTTACAACAACTTTTAAATTGGTGATTTTCTAATGTACAATGAGTTGCCTTAGCTACTAGACCATGGTACAAAACAAAGTCCACCCCCCCCCCCCTCCCCTCTCGTTCATTCTCTTTGCTCGTCTAGAAGCTACAATCCAAAAAAAAAAAAAAACTAGGAATAAGAAACAACTACCAAATAGCTTTGGTTGTGTGGTTTGTTTAAATTTTTATGAAAAATACATACTTTAGAGATTCGTTTAAGGCTGATGTCAAATCAAAAATTTAAATTTAGCCTATAACTTGATCCTAAGTTAAGGCGAGCTGAGTCATGTTCAAGCTTTTTAAGGCGGTCAAGTAAGTCCGATTAACCTTGCCCATATAAGTTCTTATTATAATCAACAACACCAATATTGATCCCAAAGTTTAGGGGAGTAGTCACATACCTTTTGCTTCGAAACAAAGCAATAACATATACCCCTATTGGTTAAAAAGGGATGGTTAAATATATACAAACCCCAGCCCATGATATATCCTTGTATTAGGGCTTAGGCTCATAATTTGGTCTAAGGACCACCGTGAAATAAATGTACGTCCACTTGTCCTAGATATGAAATGATCGAATAACCCCATCTCTTTTTTGCTGTTATTTCATCTTTATTTGGTCCTCATTCCATAGCTTCATACCCATTCTAGTGGGGAAAGTAAGCAACTAAGCTAGGCCAATAATAATGCATGCTAGCTTTAATTCAATGAGAATCTATAATGTAAGACTTAAATCTGTCACCTAATATGATATGGAGTTCATGTATTAATCTCATTTGATTATTAGCATCAGTACCATATTCAAATAACATAGGTAATACGACGTGGTGTTAAAATTTTAGAGTGTTTATTTAAACTCGTTAATAACGTGAGAATGAAATGTATAAATGTACAAGATGGTTGTTTCTTTTAATTCTCTCGTAAATCAGAGTCATACGAAATTTTCTTAGAGTATGAGCTCCTTATATATCCATTAACATCTCATCTAAGTGTCTACAAACGTACAAGAAATATTTATTTTATTCTCATGTATATCACAGTCATATTTACTTATTAGAGCATGAGCTCCTCATCCAATAACATCTCGTATTAGTGTATTTTTTTTTCGGTGTTCCACCCGTTTTACCCTTTGGGCTAATCTGAATTCGAGGATCAGTCCCTTCCCAATTGTTGTTGCGGGGGTTCGAACACACAGTTCTCCCTACCAGGTGTAGTCTCAATCACCACTACACCAACATCTCGCATAAGTGTATATAAATGTACAAGATGGATGTTTTCTTTTATTCTCGCATAAATTGTAGACATATTTCCTTAATCAGGGTATGAGCTCCTTATACATGCATCAATAACTTCACGTATAAGTGTCTAGCTAGTCGTTAGTTTGAGTTTCCAATCAATAGCTAGCTCTTTTGCCTGTAAAATGCATAAGATGTGTGCTTTTTAATCATATATACTCTTTTCTTTTCTCCTGATTGTTATATCATCATGCAAGCTTTGTATAGAAAAGATTGGCAGACGAATACATTGTAGAGTCAGTCTTTTTTGGGTATTGTATTATGTCCACACAATAGAAAGAAAATTAAAGTTCATCAACGTCATATTTATGCGATGGAAAAAAAAATCATATACTTATATCATACTTCATGGTTAACTGAATGATACTTTCTCCGTTCTTTTATTAACCGTGCAGAATAATATTTTAATATTTACACAGTTTATTAATTAACTTTGACCATTTATTAATAAAGATGGATTTATTTTGGTCTAATGGATGAAAAATACAACAATAACACATGAAAGAAGTTAAATTAAAAAAATAAATAAATAAATAAATAAAAGGGCTTATATAATTAGTTTAAAACTAAAAATCAAGCAATTCAATATGCATGCTTAAATTTGCTTTATTCTCTAATTTCCCTACTTTATATCTATACAGCTGATCAATTGAAGAAGTACATGTGAGCTCCTTCAATTCCCCTAACCTTTGAATATTTAATTTATCACTTTATATTATTATCCATTGTAATTATAAACCTTTAAGCACATGCATAGCAACTAGCAAAGGGATATATATGTTATATGTACAACTTTTTCATAATTTAAAGTGGTAAATTGTCTATACACTTAGGCTAGAAGAATCTAAGGTGCTTAATCATTTAATCATATCAAAGATTCTTAGCGATGTTATAGAAATTCTTTGCTCTTTTTGTGACGAATTATATATGATAATCTATTATTAATCCGATTTAATTAATTAACTTGTACTATCTATCTTAAGTGATATGATTTGAAAATCTTTGTTAGATGAGATGAGTAGCTAGCCTAATTGAACTAAGAGTTGTTAGATATCGACCAAAACAAGTTATTATATATACTTTGTAGTTCGTATATTTTTTTGGCAATAGGTAAACAATATACAAGTAATTAGACCATTTGTCTACCTATAATCGCCAGTTTATGGCCTACATTGATTTGAGTTTTGAGAACATACAAGTTTATCACCTTGATAAGTGGCAAGATTGTAATAAATCAACAATTTTTTTTTATTAAATAAAATGGGCCTACATGGCATGTGTTGAAATAATTACAAAAATGTTATACTGACTAGATATATTTGTTAATTTATTTACGGTTTTTTCATTTGATAAACAAATTTTATTTATCAATGTAATAAACTGGGGCTTACCTATTGAGTTCTAGAAGCTTATAATTTAAACAATAAACTCCACCTCCAAAAAAAAAAAAAAAAAAAAAAAAAAAAAAAAAAATCACAAGACAAACATCACCTTGCTTAATTAGCAACATACAAAATCTATTCAATCATACCAACAAGTGCTCTCTGAACCAAGCTAAGAAAATTTTGTTGCTAGGGAACAAAGCTTCAGACGGCGGGAATCCCTCATTTATATATTTTAAGTATGTTTATTAAGACTATTTTTTAAGCATAATATAGTTTAAGAATATTTTATTCAATTAATTCCAAAAATATTTAATGCCCTCGTCAAAGTATGCCACGTAATACTATGAGTCTATGACATACCATTGTAAACACTTTGGTTTTGTGGGACAAAGCCATTAGACATGTTGGATTATGTATTTATTATGTGACAATTTGCTTAAATTTTGAGGTACCCTTTTATTCCAAAATAATAAACTCCATTGTTTATACTAATTTAGCATACAAATAATATAATATTGATCGATATAGTATTACAAAATTTATAATTTAGTTAATAATGCAGTTTTTGAAAAAAAAAAAAAAAAAATTAGTATGAAATTCATACAATTGGTAAATATTATATGGACACTATTAAACAATACAGAAATAAAGCTTCATACTCCGAATTGTTGTCATTGTCATATTTTTATATTGTAGTGCCTTTTTTTTTTCTAATTATTATTGATTAACAAATTGTCTATTAATATATTTTACCCATATGACTTTATTGAAAAGGTATTTTACACCAACAATATTGCCACGCACTGCTCTTCTATAATTTTTTTAAAACAATGAAA